TAATTCTATGAATTATATTATAATATAATTAATCTGTGAATTATATTGTAATAAACATTTTAGAATGATAATTTAAACAATTCGAATTGATGAATATTAAGTGCGAATTATCATATTGTTGACCTAGAGTTCGTGTAGAATTGAAAAGTATACATGTAGTAGTGGAGGATTTCTTCGTCAGAAAGATAATATCTATATGTCCCCTAACACACATGTATCGGGATGTATGCAATAATTACAATAAATCATTAAATATATGTAATAATACATCAAATCCACAATGCTGTCCCTCATGTTTCCTTAAATCCTCCTGACAATATTCTCGCATATTTGCACTTTCAGCATAATTCCCTAGCATGTTCTCCACACTTTACCTTCCAAGTTCTCATTTTCCACGCGTTTGCCATATGTTTCCAGCATGTATATCCGTACGTTCCCCATACACGATGCTTACATGCGTCCTCACATATTCTCCCATACATTCCCAACTGCTTCCCCAAATGTTCTCTCAAATGTTCTAAAAAATCCTCCGAATATTCCTCACCCGCTTAGCGCATGTTACTACACTTATTAATTTTGGAAATTAAAATGCAAATTCAAAATAATAATTTAAGTGTTTTTTGATAAGAAACGCTTTTACGTTAGGCGGCGTGTAGTGAGATGTCTTCCATGCCGAATGAAACGGGAAATTATGGATAGCTAGAGTAAACAAGACTGAAAACCTAAAATTATGCAATAGAAAGGCCCTAAGATTTTTCGCATAAAATTGCAATTTATATAAAAAAAACAGAGTTTTTAAAATCTTTGTTTTAAAAGTGAAAATAGTTGCATTCTGGAGATCAACTTCCAATGTGTTTGGCAAGCCTTGCTACGGAATAACGGAACCATCAAAATATGTATTAAAACGTCCTTAAAGGTCTCATTTTGTAAATTACGTTATAGAAAATGTATTTGAGTGAATGCTGTTTTAATGCTGTAGAACGCATTGTTTCCGAGTTAACCATATTTTAACAATTTTGATTCACAATTTGAATTTTCATCGAACCACTCTACAACACACCAAACATTTCAATTAACCGAATTTGTAGTTCAAGGATTCCATAACAAACAACACACTATATCAATATTACTAGATTTAGCCAAAGTCTTCGACAAAATTTAGCCTCAAGATCTTCTCTACAAACTAAAGCAAATAGGCCCTCCAGATTACTTGTACCAAATACTTAAGGTTTCTAAATCAAAAAGTTTCAGGTCAAAATTAACGATACCTTAGCAGTTATCACCTTTACACCAGATTTCAATTGGAGTGCCTCAAAGTTCTCAATTATCCCCTGTATTATTCAATTTATGTATTTCTGATTATCCACATTTAGTTGAGTGGCAAATAGAGCTCTACGCTGATGACGACTTTTTACAAAACATGGTGATATAATAACAACTAGGAATAACTTACAAAGCGGCTTCGACACATTCAATGAATGGGCTAAAAATTGAAGAATTAAAATTAAGCCAGACAATACGCAACCAAAAATTTACATCTTTAGATATCCCAATACCCCAGCCTAGTTAATGATGCACAATGAAAATAGTCACTGTGTACAAATTCAAACAGCCACGTATCTTGGAATACTAGATACAAAACTAAATTGGAAAACATATCCACACAACAGTGATAAAAGCATTAGCAAAAACATCCCACATTTATGCACAAATTAACAAAAAACCCTCCCTTAAAATCGAAACCATAATTCACAAATAGCTAATTAGATCAACAATGACGTATGTATGCTCAATATGGGGAATTGCAGATGCATCTAATGTAAACATTCTGCAAAACATTCAGAAGAAAGTACTAAGATTCATCGTTTAATTCCGAACAAATTCACCACGAACTGCAAATACCTACATTGAAAGACATTACCAAACTGTTTGAGAATTATTTTCATCACTCTCCACATCCCCCAGCAACTCTATGTATATTCAACCTCGAACGCACAGAAGAATTGAACCTACATATAAACTTACACATACCTGAAGGCAAATTCAGACCACTATAATATAACAGCTCCTTCTCAAATTACATGATCTCAATCGTATAATCATGTCTACGAACATCCTCTGTCTTTTCATATCATTTCCAAAATTTTTAAATTATTAAAACAAACTAAAAACATCTAACCACCGATAGTTAGGAAATAAACCAAAAGTTCTGTACGAGTACGTAACTATTCTCGAACTCCTGAAAAAAATGTCTGTTGAGCAGAGGATAATAAATCTAAAAAAGAGTATTTCTGGTGAAAATTGTTTTTCTGCACACGATTACATAACTTTCACCTGTTACCAAGTGCGAGAAAGTGAAACGGAATATCGTTATGGCGGATTCGATGGCAACTGCACTTCACAGTTCCTGTAGTCTGATATCACAACGTGTAAACACTGTAAAACCCCAATACAATGAACGTAAGTAAACATGAGAAAAATAATAACAAATAGCCCTTTCTAGGTAACGTGGCATGTTTTTAGAGTATAACGGGTATTTGATGGTGGCTTTTCTATCACTAGGAATAATCTTCCCTAGAAAATTGATTAATTTTCTCCTCATGAGTTCTATTTTGTAGTAAGTATAAATTATTATTTTTCAATAGTGGCGCAAAGAACATTTTCAAACGTACTCATTTTCGAGAGATATCTGGGCGGGACAAACCCGCAAGCCGACGTGCGATCGGCGCCTGATCTGACATTCTATTAGGGGGGACACCGTAAACTTCCATTCTATGGCATGCACTTCCATACTATGGCAATGAGCAAGTAGTTGGCACCCTCCAAATCACCAAGTAATGGATCAATCAAGTTCATGCTCAACTGAACATGACCGGGAGAAGTGGCTCAAAGCATCAACTGATGTCATTGCAGAGCTTCTGACAGGCAGATCCTAGTTTCAAGCCCCGACGGTGGCAGGATTTTAGACACTAGCTAGATCGAATTCACGCACTCTTTGGAGAATTCTAACAGCCGGATGTTCTCGGTAGTTTATCGTGGTTTCTCCGATCAACACCAGATGAATGGCAGAGCAGTACCCTAACAAACGGGCTACGGACCGCACGCGATATTTCCTTCCTTTTTCTTCGACCTATCCTTACCCATACATACACTTACCTTCACATGCACTACACTACCACTCTTGTCCGGAGACCAGTCGGGAACGTAGGGAGCTTGTTCCGGCTGGGGCGGTGCCACGCTGGTAGGAGATACCTGGTTGGGGAATTCCCGTTAGCCGACAGACGGTAGGTCGGCGCCGGATCTCGCCATCCAGCGGGATGTGATCACCGCCAGCTGTCGAAAAAAAGCACTTCACTTACGGGACTAATGACCTTAGCGGTTGACGCGCACGGAATCAATCATTCCATCGCGTGCAAGCGCAACTCGAATGGAGAAGGTGAACTACCCCCGACGGCGCGCGAGCGTGCGCGGGGGCGTACGTGCCGCGCGCGGAAGAGGCGCCACGCGCGCCTTCGAGTGGCTCTCCAGCCGCGACCGCCGCCGCCGCCGCCCCCCTCGTGGCCTTGAGGTAGAGAGCGGGTGTTGCAGCGACAACCACATAAAACCCCGGCCGCCCGCCACCTGCCATTCACAGCTCTCCGGTCGTCTCCGGTGACTTCTTTTGGTGAGTGCCCCGGGCGCTGCGACGCCATCTTGCACTGTCCCAATAGCACCCAACGGTTTTTGTCAAACCTTTATTTCGTTCCCATGAACTTCTAGGTCGCTTGAGTATTCTATAAAAACACGTCACTTTTACATTCATGATTGTAATTAATGGACAAATATACAATTTCATTACATTTTACTAGTTATTGTTTATTAATGAAATACATAAATGAACCAAAATCAAATTATATTAATTATTGAATTCTTGTTAAGAGACTTAGTAACTTTGTTGGGTGGTTCTTCAAACTATTCTATTGAACTTGCTATTGATATGACTTTTTTCGATGCTTGTATCTTTGAAATTTTCATACCCATTAACTGTTGGTCAATTTCTAAATTGCTTAAGGCATTTAAAAAATAAACTACAAACACAGAATAAAATTCGGACTGTCGTTATTTGCAAGCCAAGTCCATCCATGCATTTTCGGAGATACTTTCCGAACAAAAACATTTTTGTAGTTTGTGGCATTCTACTCTGCCTTGCCCACCCTTTTCTCCGGCACTATCACTTAAATTTCACATTATATTACTCGGAATCTTGTTGTAATGAAATGTCGGCTTTTAGAAAATTTTTAGCTGATTTCCTTACCGAGAGATATTTGTGCAAAACTCAAGAGTGCTTAAATTGTTTGAAGGCAGGAAATGGAGACTTGAAGTATTTTTTTACGAAGTCTCGTATACAATATTACTTATTGTATGAATGCTAAGTGTGCGAAAGTTAATTAAGACGCCAATGAAGATGTATACAAACACACTTTCTTTTTTATGTGATAGAAAATAATGTTCTAAAATGTTCCTTAAATTACGCCTGTCAAAATACTCTCAATAAAACCACTTAGCGAAAAGGGTTCTGACGTTCCTCAACTAGGCCGGGCAAACAATCAAAAATTGAAAAAACATTAGAATTGTCTTTAATATAATGTAGGAGTTCACTAATACTCAATTCAACTAATGCCTTATTTTCCCTGGTGAGGCTCAAGACTCCAGGCCTACTCCTCCACTTGGGAGTGTTTCTTACAACCCGTAAATCTACAACATGGGACATCTGGCTTTACTTCCCCTCTGAAGGAAGGCGTACGAAGGATTTTTTTGCCCTTAAAGGTCCACAGCTTCGATCGCGTTTGAACTCGTGAATTTGAGTGAATACGCTAACCGTTACACCACCGACGAAGGGAGGGAAACAAAGCAGAAACAAGTGTTTATGCGGTTTCAATTGAACTGCCTTTACTTCAGTTTTACTAACGCACCGCTAATTTGGTACTTCGCAGGTTTCCTTGGCATCCTCCGCGACCAGCATGGTGGGCGAGTGCTGCACCGACTGCGTCTTCCAGGACACCGAGTTCCTGCAGAACACGTGCGGCGCGTCGTTCGCGCTGTTCATGGGGCTAGTGCAGTTCCTGCTGCGCTCGCAGTGCGACATCGCCGAGCCGTGCACGCGCCTGGGCCGCGACGCGGGCCTGCTGCAGCCCGACGCCGAGTTCGACTTCGTGGTGGTGGGCGCGGGCGTGGCCGGGCCCGTCGTGGCCGCGCGCCTCTCCGAGAACCCGCACTGGAGCGTAAGTCCTCTCCCCCCGCCCCCGCTCGCGTGCTTCCTGCAGGGAGGGGGCGCAAAGACACGACGCAGCCGATCCGAGTGGCCGAGATCGTTAAGGCAGTATTGCTATATCGACCTCGGGCCGAAGGATCGCGGGTTTGAGTCCCTCCTCGGGAATGGTTGTGTATGTGTTCGCCATTTTACCCCCTCATCATCAATCATCTTGTCACTTCATATATATGGTATTCGGATATCCCCGAATGTTAAATCAGAAATGATCGCTTTTGAACTCTTAGTTAATGCGACCTTAAATTTAAAAAAATACAACAGACAAAAGAGCACGACCCGCTTTTCTACGGTACGGCCATTATATATATATATATAT